TTGTAAAAAATGCGCGCGATCAATTCGATCAATAAATTATGATGCTACATATATATGCTGTCATTACCCACTGAACCGCGCCTATCCCTGCAAAGTATGTCGCGCAACCCGTCGTACTGCCCAATATGTATATGCAACACCCTGTATATTAATTAAGAAATTAGTTTCACAAAAAAAACACATACGTTATTCACGAATCTTACTTGTATATATTTGTTTGTGTAATATAATTATTTATTTTTGTTTAGTCATTGTTTTGTAGATACAACGTTAAGTGGTATGTAGCTTCTTTACACATACAAAGATTGATACTATTTTTGCTGCAAGAAAACACCTGATTATAGCTAAAATTTTTGTAGGGTGCTTAGAAAGCTTTGCAACGGTAAAATTTATACTATTCATCAAAAATATTTTATGCAGCGTACTGTAACTTCACTAGAAAAGTGATATTTATTCCAGCTTACAATCGCATCAGCGTCTTACTTTATCGTTATTTATTCTACAAGCCAATCTACAAAATAATGTTATATAAAATAAAAAAAAATTAATAAAAAATTTACAATTACAAATTTAAATTTACAATTACAAATTTAAAATTTACATTAGATATTTGAATAAATAAAGCATAACTTCAATTCATGACTTCAATGCAATTTAAAAACTCAAAGTAATTTTAAAAAACTGATATGCAATTTCAATAATTAAAACTTATTTGTATCTAATTATTTTCTTAAAGCACATTAATCTTACGCTATCTTTGAGTAAAGAATTTGCTCTGTCATTTTTAAATATTTATATTTGATTTTTTAAATAACAGGTAATGCACACAAGTGTTCAGCAATTATGAGATTTGATATAAAAAATGCATGTGCGTATTTGAAAATGCATGAAAGATATATGGCTGAGCAAATTTCACTAAACAAATATCATTATATGTATTAATAATTTTATCGATAATAAAATTGAAAACTTACATGTCTGTACTGATGCTACACTTAAGTAAATTTAATTTAAAAAAGAACGCATAAAATAAAGTTAACATGAAATTTGATGCTAAAAATGGGAACTTTAGTTGCTTGACTTTTATTTAAAAAGTTTTCTGACGGAAACAATTTTAAGAAAAAGTAACTTCCACAGAATTTATACTAAGGCACTGCGTTTAACAATATATTGCATATTCATATATGTATAGAAGATCATATATACTATTTTTGATATTATTACAAAGAAATACTAAAGCTTTTAAGATTAGAGTGATAATATGTTTTACTAGTAGAAACATAAAAGCAAGTATATATGCATTTGCTGCTGTTTAACAGAATTTATACAATCGTACACCACAAATGTTTATACTAGACTGAAAGAAATGGAACTGTAAAGTCTAAAAATGGTCATTGCGGCTGCGCGACTTATGTACAAAAAGAAACTTCTTATGAAAATTTTTGTAAAAAAGAACATTCAGTAAATTGCTTTCAATGTAATATCGATCGTTTATTTATGAACTCTATGCCAAGAAAATTGCCTAAATTGCGATAGTTTGACCACACAATTATACTTTATGTCGCTTTATATTACGCTAGGGCTAAATTAGACAATTTCTTGTGAAATTTACGATAAGAAAAAAATAAGTAAATCAAAAGACTAGGGTAAGTACACTTTTGTGAATTTATTTTTTATCAAACGTGTCTGCACACTCACGCAGAGATGATGTCTCTCGAGACTCGTTATTTTAATATCAACCGTATTCTGTTACTCATCATAGGCTTGTGGCCTTACAAGCAAACGCTATTTACTCGACTTCAGTTAATTCTACTTTTTAATACTCTAACTACTTATATTCTATTTCAGGTATATCATTATTTCAATTGTGGAATTAAGCGGAATTGTATTATAATTTATAATAATATAATTTGTTATTAAATTATTGTATATAGAGGGGCAACGAGAAATCTATTATTCAGAAAATTTAAAGTTAATTAAAACTTATAATTTTAGCTAATTAAAGTATCTTTTTTGAATGCACTTAGTTTAATAACTACTACATTGATATTATAGAAGAGTAACAAAAAATCCCACTTGCAAAAACCTTAAAATACATTTCGAATTTCAGTAAACCAAAGTATTTTTTTGAATGCGATTGGTTCAATAAAAATATTATTTGCAGTTTACAATATTTCTGACATCAAAATGTACTCTAGATCTCGTTCTCAAGGTCTTCTCCTCTGCGCTTTTTTTCAGTTTTATGATGATCAAATACAATTCGTTTCGTAACATTAACACTGTGAGTGTAATAAGAAATTTTAAAATAAAATAATTATTTTTGCATGTTATAAAAAGAAATGCACAACATTATTGTCATGATAGGTGAAGAATATGTTTGAGCAACTTCAGAATGTATATCATGAACTAAAAGACGTAAACGAAATTGCTATACTAGAAAAGTACGGACGCAGATCCAAACGTTTTACGACTGCAATTATGGGTAAGACAACATATTTCAAATTTTTTTATGCGTTTAATGACTTATGTAATTACTTCTTTAAAATTTTTAGTGTTTGCAATAACCGGTGAAATTATGTTTGCTTTGCTGGAAATTTGGTCCTATATTTATCATGATGTTCTATCTACAAATAAATCTCAACTACATGTTTCAATTGTTGTAACAGAATACTTTATCGATCAAGAGAAATACTTCTACTTAATCATAATACACAGATATGCTGCTTGGATTGTAGGAGGTTTCGCAATGGTAGGAACAGGAACATGGCTTATAGCATATCTTCAATATACATGTGGAATGTTTAGTATTGCCTGGTAAATAAATAAACGCAGAATATAAAAATACAATGCAAAAATTAATATTGTTAACAATAATTTTTTTAACATTCTAAATATGAACTATACAATTACAATAATAAAATTATTTATAGTTATCGCATCAAACAGGCATTGACAGCGGACATTATCCAAATGAGAAGTCTAAAAAGCGAGAAAGAAATTCATAAGGAAATAATTTGTGCCGTAGATATTCATCGCAAAGCTATGAAGTTAGTATACATATATGTCACCAGCCAAGCCCGAAGGATCGTCAATACTAAGATTGCCTAGGCAAAGTTAAGATTGTCAAGAGTGTTTTAGGCAATGTCCGAAATGAAACTGTATTTCGGACTTAGTCTGAAAACAATTTAGGCAATCTTAAGATTGCTCAAGGCTAAGCGTTGGATCCATATTCGTTTGAACGGCTGGATGCATCATTACGTCCGATTATGATCGTACGTGTCGAAAGCGTTCACTGCGTTCTTTGTCCAATTCAATCATTCACACAATTA